CGCGCCGGCTATGCCGGCGAGGACGGCCCGCGAGTGGTTACCCCGTCGTTCTACGGGTACACAGACGAGGCGTCTGGTTCTGGCGAGAATGGCGCGCACACCGATGGCGACGACCCGATGGACGGAGAGAAGAAGGGAAAGAGGAAGTACTACTTTGGCGAGGACGGTGTAGGCGTCTGGCGGCCCGGGATGGAGGTCGGCAACTTCATGGTTGATGGTGTCGGTGAGTTTACGTAACCGAACCTTTGTAACTGACCCCAGTGAACGATGGAGAAGCAGCAGGCGCGATGCTGAAGCATGTTTTGCGGGAGCGGCTCGCGCTCGATCCCTCGGAGCATCCGCTGATGCTGACTGAGCCGGCATGGAACACGCCGAAAGCGCGCGAGGAGCTCACGCAGCTCGCGTTCGAGGGCGAGGGCGTTCCGGCGCTCTACTTTGGTTCGTCGGGTGTGCTGTCCGCGTTCGCTGCCGGAAAGCCGACAGCTCTCGTGCTCGACATTGGTTATGCGAACGCGTCTGCGGTCCCGGTTGTCGACGGCTACGCGCTTCGTGCCGGCACGATGCGGCAGCCGCTGGCTTCCTCGCTGGTGCTGAACCAGCTGCACCACCACTTCAGCAACCCGACGCCGACGCGTGATTTCGGTCTCTCGCTCCTGCCGCGACAGCTCGTGAAGCAGCGCGACACGACGGGCGAGGCGGGTGCGCAGCCCAAACCGGTGGTGCGCGACGACCGCGTGCAGGGTACGACGCCGTCGTGGCGCGCGTGGGCGGAGCAGGGCGTCGTCGACCAGTGGAAGGAGGCGTGTGCCGAGGTCGTGTCTGCGCGCGGGTTCGACTTCCAGTCCGCCCGCGACCTGCCCCAGGTCGTTTACGAGTTCCCAGACGGATACCACCAGTACTTTGGCGAGGAGCGGTACCGCTTCACCGAGATGCTGTTCGACCCCAAGAACTACTTCAACCAGAGCATCGAGCCGCCCGCGTCGCTCCGCGCGACTCCGAGCGGGGAGCACTCGCACTCGCTCAAGGACGTCGTGTCGCTCAGCCAGCTCGTGCACGACTCGATCATGGCGTGCGACGTCGACGTGCGCGCCGCCCTGCTGCAGAACATTGTCGTCGTCGGCAACACGAGTCTGACCCGCGGCCTCGTCGAGCGTCTGGACGTGGAGCTCGCGACGCTTCTGCCTAGTGTGAGTGGAGCGAGCGAAGCGAGCGTGCCGAGCGCCAGCTCAGCAGAGCTGACGGCTGTGTATCAGCTTGGCGGAGCGGCGGAGCACGCGCTGAGCGTCAGCTCAGCGGAGCAAAAAGCTCTTTATCGTTCAGCGCAGCTCGCCATCTGTCCACAGCAGCTTAAAGGTGACCTGCGAAGCTAACGCCCACAGCAAAAGATCAAGATCCACGCCCCGACCATCCCGTACGAGCGCAAGTACGCGTCGTGGCTGGGCGGCAGCGTGCTCGCGTCGCTGGGCACGTTCCACCAGCTCTGGGTCACGAAGGACGAGTATGACGAGCACGGCTTCAACATTATTCAGCAGCGTGAGTACCGCAGCCGGGGGCCGGCGGAGAGCCCTCCGAGCCCGGAGGGCTCGACGTGGCCCGTGGCGGGACAAGGAGTGCGTGGAGCTCGCAGGGCTCGCAGGGCTCGCAGGGCTCGCAGGGCTCTGAATCGGACCCGTAAAATCGGAGCCGCGGAGCCGGGCGATTCCTTTCGAACAACTTCCAGCTCTCAACGAGTTTGGCCAAGCTGACATGCCACAGGGTGCAAGTAGATGTAGACACTTTTTTGGATCCCCCGATGTTATTCGATTTGTAGCAGACGACAGTTTGGCGATTAGCTCGGGGGCTGACTCTCGTACTGACCCACCCCCCCCCCACCCCCTTTACTGATTGTCCCATAGTCTCAGAGGTACGAGATGTCAGTGCGGCATAGGGTGGGAAGTAAGCCGCAAGGCTACATGTGCCGAGTACATGTGACAGTGTGCAGAGCAGGTATTGCGGTGTTGCTAGTGATACAGACAAATGCCAACTGTGGCGCCGAGGTCCAGCGTCCGTGTACTTCCATTCCTCTCCCTTTTCCTCGATCTCACGCGAGCGTAGCGTACAGGTTATGCTAAACGTCGATATCCCCCCGGGCAGAGACACTATCCGCTGCCCGGTGCCCCTTCCGTCCCATTAACCCCATTACTCTCTCCAGCAGCTCCTCCAGCAGCTCCTCCAGCCGCGCCGTCCGCGCCTGGGACGGCCACTTCGTGTCCGTCCGCGTCCGCGTCCACCGCCTCCGTCGCCTCCGCCGCCTCCGCCGCGTCCCAGACAATACACCTGAGCGCGGAATAGTTGCGCCAGATAGCGTCGCCCTCCGCGATCTCCCCCCTCAGCCTCTCCTGCAGCCGGGGGGACAGGGAG